TATTTTTTGAGACTGGGACAGGCTGGTCTGAACTCACTATGTTGTCCAGGCTTGATCTGAGCTTGCAACAACCACCTTCCTCAGCCTTGGAATGTTTTTATAATGATGCATGTGTGTTGACATCACATAAAGAGCTTGAAATATTTTGTCATTTCATTTGTTTTTAAACACGATCTTCCTATGGCTGACCTTGAATTCATAATTCTCCTGTCTCAGCCTCCTAAGTACTGGATTTGTAAGCACTCACCACAAAACACAACTTTTCCAAGAGTTAGTGATACACATGAATAGATGTTTTGCTAAAAGTTAAAAAATGTTAAAGTACTTTGAAAAGTGAATTTTTTATATTAGTACCATATCTATGACAAAGTTAAAACAGCACTGACCATATCTCCCAGGAACTTATAAGACATCAGTGCATCTGAATGACTGCATTTCTATGTCAAGGAAACTTTTTATGCACCTTTTGCATAAAAAAAAATAGCATTTGCTTCTATCACTCGAAGCTATTCCTCTTTGCCCGTCACATAAAGGCAATGAATAAATGCTGATAGAGTGCAAGGCAATGGGCAAGCCTGTCACTTCTCTTTTGGTAACCTCCACTCTCCTGAAAGCACACCACCAGCCCATGTGGCGGTAGCCCTTCTCAGCTACCAGTGTATAATGATGCCATGAAATTTTTTGGTTTCATGCGTCAGTCTTCAGGTAAAGTCCCCCACACTTAACCAACGAATGGCCAGAGTAGGTGGGTATGAACTGTGTAAGAACGTATCTAAAAGATGAAGTAAGAAACAATGAGAAGCATGGTTTTTTATAAACCAACAATCGAATCCCCACTCCACCCCCAACCTCTTATCCTTAGATACTGGGTATGTGGGAGAATATACAAATATTCAGCATATATTTGCATATATATGCACAAATGAATATATAGATACACAAGCATGTTAGGATAATCCTTTCACATCCATAGGGAATTAGTTCTAGCACTCCACCCCTTGCTGAGGGCAAAACCTTTAGATGTTCAAGTCCCTTATATAAAATGGCATAGTTTTTTATATATAACTTATGTACATCCACCTGAATATTTATTTATAATTTTTCTTCCAAAACTGTTTATTCACTTATGTATGTATGAGTGTGTGCTGTGTACAAACACGTGTCACTAGTGTGGAAATCTAGACCAGCTTTGTGGAGTGGTTTCTCTCCTTCTACTACATGAGCCCTGGGGTTAGAACTCAGATTGTCATGTAACAAGTGCCTTTACTGCTGAACCATCTCACTGCCTTATAATTCTTAATTTGATGTAAACAGTTGGTGTATATTACATTATTTAAGGAACAATGAACAACAATGAGTGATTTCTGGTTAAAGTCAAGGATGTGGAGTCTGCAGCTGCAGTGTAAGATTGTGTGTGGATTCCTACCTGATCACTTGAACCTGAATTAACTTAGAAGATTATTAGGCAGTGGTGGCCACTTGTCTTTAATTCCAGCACTGGGGAGGCAGAGGCAAGTAGATCACGATGAGTTGGAGGCCAGCCTAGTCTACAGAATGAGTTCCAGGAAAGCCGTGGCTACACAGAAAAAGCCTGACTCAAAAACCCAAAAAACCAAAACCAAAACCAAAACCAAAAAAAAGATTGTTAGCTTGATGAGAATTATACAGAGGTACGTGTGTGTGTGTGTGTGTGTGTGTGTGTGTGTACTTTACACAACAAAAAATATGGTTTGCTGTTTTTGGACTGTGGGAATGTTATTTTTCACAGTGTTGAGAGATTGAAGCCAGGGTTTTTAGTGAGCTGTATCAGCCCAAGAACAAACAATTGGACATCACACCAAGTCTCCTTTCATGGGTGAAACATCTCATTACAGCTCTAATTTTTAAATATCTGACAAGCAATTATCCTAACAAATGATGCCTACATTTTTGGCATTTCTAGAAGTTGAAAGGTGAATATGGTCATTTCCTTTGATGGCAACAAAGCATTTCTTCTTATTACAAACATGCTCAACACTATGTTATGGAGTTTTATAAATCATGTCACCTTAAGAATTAACTGAACATTACCACAATAAAGAAGGAAAACATTCTTTCAGAGCGGTATATCATAAGGTAATTAAATTACTCAACTAAAAATTCAGGGTTTAAGGGCTGGAGACATGACTCAACAGTTACGATAGCTACATCTCAGTTTCTATTACTGATTAAAAACATTGCTTAATTATACTGGGATGTCAAGTTATGTAAGATATGATTACTGATCAGAATTTCTTTGTACACATGCTTTTCTTTTATTGTTTGAGAACTTCATGCATTTATACAATAAGTTTTTTTTTTTTTAATCAAATCTACTACTTCCGGCTTCTTCCAATGTCTCCTATACTTCTCCATCATTTTTCACTTCCAACTTCATATATTCTTTATTTTAATCCATGGGTCCATTTAGGGATACCGGTATGTGTATGGGTAGGGCCATCCACTGGAGCATGGGAGCTGTTTCACATAACTTACAGCAGCTGTAGCTGGATGCATAAGACTCACACGTGATCCAGCCAGCTAAAATTCCAACATGAGTGGGGAGGGCCTCACCAAGTCCCACCTCTACCTGAGGTGCTATTAGCAGTTGATAACCTGCTGGGAAAGGAAGAACCAGTTCTCTTTGCAGGATATTTTTGTTTTGTTCTGTTTTGTTTTTGCCATTCTCTTTACGTACAATGTCCTCCTCCTTTATCTTAACTGAATGAAACTTTCATATAAGATTCTCAATTGTCCCCGATTTCATGAATTGTAGCATACTCCATCTTGATTTATCTGTTGCCCTGTTGACTAGAACTGATCTGTCTCCCCCCACCCCACATCATTCTCTGGTCATTCTTGTCATCTTTGATGTCTTTCTTACCCTTTTCATAGTTTCCCACCATCATCTGCCTTTTTGTCCTATTCCAGTGTGTTGGAATAGGATAACTGGCATTTTCTCAGCCATTGTCCTCATGCCTTTGTGTAAACCCATTCTATTGACTTGAACAACTTTTACAGCCTCTAACCCTGTAAGTGTCTTTACAGGGCTTACAAAACCAACCAGACTGTGTCGGTTTTGTCAGCCACTGAATTTCCAATAGCTAATGTAGTGACTGACATATCTGATAATTGTAATACATATTTGTTGCATTCATACCCTGCTTCCAGGGATTGTTACCTGGCAGTTATCAAAAAGGGCAAAAAATTCTGAGCTGAATCTGTTTCTTTAACTACCATAGTTGAATTTGTTTTCTTGACGGTTGTCTTTCAAATATTTATTCATCTGCTAAAGCACTTCACCTTTATATATATGAGAAAATTATGCTAAAACATTGCACTCTTATTTTTAGTTAAATATTTCTTTTAATATATTTAATTATGTATAGATGTGTGCATATGGGTGGGACATGTGTGTGCAGGTAACAACAGAGGCCAGAGGCTTTGGATCTTCTGGAGAATAAGTAATAGATGGTTGTTGCCTTATGTGGGTGCTGGAAACTGAATTTGGGTCCGCTGGAAGAGCAGCAAATGTTTTTATCCACTGAGCCATCTCTCCCAAGCATTGATTCCTTCTTTAAATATTATTTTTATTGACAAATAAGAATTTTATGTTTGTGATATACAACATGATTTTTGAAGAGTCTGCTTCTTACTAAGTATATGGCCTCAAACTACTACTTTCTTCATCATCCATTCCTTAATTTCTCTTTTCCCGTGTGTGTGTGTGTGTGTGTGTGTATGTAGTGTCTCACAATATAGATCATATTAGTATGAACTTGTAGCAATCCTTTAGTTTTCTAATTCTATGTGACAAGAGTACGTCTTTTATATGGTCATAGTAAGAGTTAAATGAGATATTTCTACTATCTGGAATATTTTCTGTCCTGATTATCTACATCTTCACTTCCAAGACATAGTTCAAATGTCAAGACCACAGAGGCCTGGTCCCTTCCCAGTTTCCCATGTCATTTTGTTTGATGTTCTTCACAGCATTTGTCACTATCTGAATTTATCTTTATTTACTTATTTGCTTACTAGCTATGTGACCTCGATTTCTTTGAGTCCATTTCTTCTCACTACCATTCCTTGCGGTCCAGAGTCAGGTCTGCATGTAGTTTTGCTGCATAATAAATAGTTGTGGAGTTATTCACTTCCTCTTGTTACTCCAAGCCCTTGAGAAAGCTAATGGACAGCCACACTTTGGGGCTCGTTTCTGACAGTTTATATGTTGGGGGGGGTAGGAGAGCTTTTTATCAAAGTCTTATAAGCTTATGATCCACCTCAGCCTTGGGAACCTATCATGGGAACATTGGAATGTGACTTGTCTGCTTCCCAGAATCACTGGAGACTTGAAGATAACTGGCTTATCCTTTCTGTCCATAAAAAGTGTTATAGCCGGAGATCAAACGAGGAAGACTTAGTGCTAAGCTAAGACTTGGTAATAAACAGAAGACGAAGACGGGAAGTAGGGATATAGAGGAAGAGATTCTCCTGGGAAAGGCTTTGTAGAGGAACCTTGAAGGGGTGGGAAATCATCCTAGAGAGAAGAACCCAGAAGTCAATGGTGGCAAACCACTTAAATTAACTCCTGGTCCATATTAAAAAGAGAGAGAGAGAGAGAGAGAGAGATACATGGTTATGAAGCAAAACCATCCAACTGATACTTTAATGCCAAGCAGAATTTTATTATTTTTTAAAAGATACAAAAGTGGTAAAAAAGGGGGGGTAGTTACAATCAACTATATAGGAATTGACCCTTCACAAACTTCTCCTACAAGAGCTGTAATGGCACTTATTTGACTGACAGTGGAAAATGCTACATACTAATTCCAGAAATAGAATTTTCAGAAACCCTCAAATCTGGGCACTACATGGGTTTCCTCAGATCATCTGAGTGGACACACTAATCCCCCAAAATATTAGTGAAGTCTGATGACTACACAGATGGGCCTCCAAAATTGTGCTCCATGATGTGGGGTTTACATGCTCTCTTGCTTGAAGACATAAGATGGACAGCTGGAGTTGGACTGTTGGCTAGGCTCTGGCAAGCTGAAAATCGGGTAACTGGTCTCATTCTTCTGGGTCCTGGCATCCTTCTGGGTCTTGGCCATGTTTTCACTGTCTAATTTCACGGAGTAGAGCTCAATGAGCCAAGGGGACCATTGAGGAGCTGCACCCGACACAGGGATCACATATCTAGACAATGAGCTTTTGGACGCATAGTGAATGTCAGAGCTGTAGATGATGACATATGGAGAGACGGCCTTGATGCGGATGCCACATTCGGTAACGTGGTAGGTGAACTGGTAGAAGTGTAGGTGAACATGGTTGGGAGGACAACCCAGACCCAAGTGCACCTCCTGAAAGTGTACATAGATATCAGTATTCAGGAGGAAGTGTTGAATGGTGATCATGAAACAATCTGTCAAATACAGGACATTCACTTGTTTCTGCTCAGAATAGCTGGAAAACAAGAGAGTAAAGAAGATGATTCCTCCGAGAATCTTGAAGAGTTTCATTCTTGAAGCTGGAGGCAGGAAGGCATCCAGAAATGAATTCTACAACAGACAAAAACACAAGAGGCAAGTTACCTTATACCTTAGATAATGTTAAAATATGAGAAGAAGGAACTTTCCATGTGAGGCAGAAGTGAATCTTAATTTTTCTTGCAGGAACTTGCATGTTAAACATAACCAGCATGGCTTCTGAGATATTTATTTATTTATTTGGCTGTGCTTTGGATGAAATCCATACCCTCTCACATGCTAGGCAAGTGCTCTACCTCTGATTGACATGGGCCTGTAATGATGACACAAGGCTTCTTGAAATAGCTTTTTCATACTGTCTTGGTATAAAACATGCATCACTGAATCATGTATTGAATGAGAATCTGCACTGATTGTTATCCCATTTTGTGTAAGGTCAGCATGAAACCCAAACAAAACAGTTTCTTCTTTAAGAAGAAATCAAGGCATGGGAAATACAGTTTAATTCAAACTAGTAACCTAGTCTGCTTTAATATGTCCTCACATATATTATCCCAATGAGAACTTCAATACGACCTTCTTCCTTAGCAGAAAAATTGAATTTTAAAACCTAAGAAGAAGTCTGGTGAGATGGTTCATTAGATAAAGGTACTTGCTGGCAAGCCTGATGATCTGAGTTCAATTCCCGGGTCTCACTTGATGGAAGGGAAGATCCCTGAAAGTTGTCCTTTGCCCTCTGCCCTCCATACACTCACTTTTACACAATGAAATAGAATGAGGTAAGTACATATTTTCCTACAATGAAATATAGCAAGCTTTAAAAAAAAGCACTAAGGTGAAGTTGCATTTTTTTCCCCTGACAACCACATATTGAAATCTGGCTGAATGGCTTAACTAAATATGTCCAAATAAATTCGTTGGGAACTCCATCAGTAACATTGTAACTCATGATGATCAAAAAAAAATTTTCTGATACACTAGAGAAATTTCTGAAAGAAAGAAAATATTTCAGAAAGAAAGAAGAAAACAAAGAGAAAAAAGAAAAAGAAAAACCAGCCAGAACTACATAGTGAGACTTTATCAAAATAGAAAAATAAAACTAAAACCAAATAACAGTAACATTCTGAGCTTGGTGTGGTGGCTTACACTGAAATCCTAATGTTTCTGAGGTAAACATAGGAGGACTGCTACAAGTTCAAGGCCAGCTTATGCAACATAGTGAGTTACAGGCCAGCCTTGGCTACAGAGTAAGACCTTGTCTCAAAAACAAAACAAAACAAAAAAACCCAAACCTAATTGTACTGATATTAATTTTATCTTTTAAATGCACATTGTATACAACTACTTAAAGAAGTCCTATCTTAACAAGAAAGCATTTTGTTTATGCTTTGTGTATAGATTGACCAACTAGCTCCTAAAACCTTTGCCTAGATTCTCTTGTGCTCGCTAGCTTTGGGGTTCTTTTTACCTTTGCCTTTGAAAGACTGGTAGACAGAGTGGCAGAGAGAAAAAAATAAAGCTAAGAATAAGTGTGTAAAGCATGGCAGCAGAGGGAGGCAACAAGAGAAAGAAGGAGGACATCATCAAATAATGTCCAATTTGGCTTTCATTTTAAACATGGAAAATCACATACCTCAGATGGCTAAAAATTGGAAGGCAATGCATGTGTGTAAGAGCAGGGATTACTTTTATTCCCTGCTAAGTATTCCCCATATAGATGATTTCACCCTTTGAATAATATTTATTGAGTGTCTACTATATTCATAGCATCAGTTTAAAAAGCAACTCCAAAACATTCCCTTTTCCCATCTGTAAACAGGAAACTCTTTCTCTGCCTTTGTTCTTGACAGATTTGCAGAGTTTTTGAATGGAAAGTACGGTGTGGAGACCAGCTAGAAGAGTGAACTGGCCTGGATGGAAGCTTTGTTTCTGTTGAGTACAACTTGCTCGCATTATCTTTCCTCCCTTCTTAATGACTATTCACTCTCTTTGCACCGGTGGCAGTGTGAAAAGAAGCCGCGTGAAAAGAAGCCAAAGTAGACTCATCTGTACTCCTTTATTCTGCAGCATCACTCCCAGGCCTGGCTGACTTTTTTTTTCTCACAAAGCGAGACTAGAGATGCAGCACATACACACACATACACACACACACACACACACACACAGAGAGAGAGAGAGAGAGAGAGAGAGAGAGAGAGAAAGACACACAGAGAGACAGAGACAGACACACACAGAGACAAATAGAGACAGAGAGAAATAGAGAGAAAAATCACCCCAGTATTGTCACTTTGTCTGTGCCTAAAAAAACTACCCTGTCCTAACCATGCTTTAGAATAACTTTCTCTCTCCCATTTCTTCTTTCCTTTCTTTCACCTTTCCCTTCTCCATTTAATTTCTTTCTTTAACATGATCTCACCACCTGGGGCCATCTGTCCTGAACAAAACCTTTCTCATTAAGTAGTTTTTTGAAATAGGCCAAGGAAACAATTCTTTCATACCATTTTTATTCTCAATCCCCAAACTGAGCCTTCAGTTGAAGGCTGTTCTGGCCCAGGAGTTAAAGCTTTCCATTTCCTCTCCCTCTCCCAAGCATCCTTTGTATAACCCACCCTCCTCCCCATTTCTCATGAATAATCCAAATAAAGTTATCAAATGCCTACATTCTCCAAGAAACAAGCCAATTGGTCGCCGGGCAATCATTTCAGACTATCTTCTTGTGTCATACCCACTTTTCAAGTTCTACTGCTCTGATTCAATCTGAAAGAGAGGGTTTGGTGACACCACTGTTTCAACAATCACTTAATACAAATCTCCAAACTTGGACAAGATAGAACCCGTTTTCTCCAGTTTTTGTAGAGCCAGCAACAAATTGCCACGTAGCAGAAGCAATAAAATGAAGATGCCTACGTACATAACAACATACCTCTGGACTCAGAAAAAGAAAAAACTTTAATGAAAGTCAGTCCAAACCATACTCGAGGTCCCATAGCTCTGAGGGAGAAGAGAAATATTAGAGATCAGGACGAGAGCAGAATGTACTTGATAATGAGCTTGCTAAATCAGAGCCCAGAACTTCAATGCTGTACTTTAAGACTGGCTCCCTTTTGCCGAAAACACCTCATTAAAAATACAGCTGCCTCCTTTCCCCAGCTGCCTGTTCTTTTCAGGGATAGGGAGCAGGGTGTGTATGGGCATCTATGCTGCTCTCATTTATGCTGGGTAATGGTTATAAGTCATTCACCACATAGTGTGCATTTGTCACATGAGCTGGTTTTCGTAACACCCAACTGAGATGGGCTGGAAGCACAGGATGTACAGGAGGGACAGAGAAGACTTGGGTTAGGAGAGCTGAAGGCATCTGAAGGGCCGAGAATGGAAGTGGGGGACTATGGAAGGTGCATTTCCAGTTCTAGTTGCAACTGTACACAGCAGCCCAGGAGATGTGGGGTGTGGACAGAATTCCAGCTAAACTCTCCAGAAATCATCGGCGCTGAGGGGCAGATGGAGACCCAGGAGGAGAGAAATACAGAGACAGAAGTGCTCGCCTTGTGGCTACTCTTCAGCTTCTGGCAGGTGGGCTTAGAAAACGGGTTTTTGAGTATGTATTACAGGAGCCCCGTTTGATCTTGATTGCAATTTTTCTCTGTGGTGAACTGAGATTCATTGGTTAATTAATCAGGGCTCAACTATGAATCAAACTATAGACTGGCCAGGCAAACTCTTCTAACACCTGGATGTTTATTTTCCTTGCAGTTACAGAGTACAAGGAACTTCCTGTTTTCTTGAATATGGTTTATGCATCTTTATTTCCCACTAGTTTCTTCAACAAAAATTTTCCTTCTCTTCCTTTCCTCTACCCAACATCTCCCATATTTGTAATAACCATCGACAAATCCTTTATATTAAAAATTCAAGAAATCAGGGTTAGAAAGATGCTCAGTAGGTAAAACAGTTGCTCTGCAAGCATGAGGAGCAGATCTCCAGAGGATAGGTAAAAAGCTGCTTGGCTGCGGGGAATATATATAACCAAGAGGCAGAGCCAGTGAACCCATGGAGGAAGCTGAACAGCCAGACTAGACAAAAGGGCAACCTTCAGGTGCAGTGAGAAACTACAAATGTGTGCTACCACGCCAAGATTTCTACAGGGAATGGCTGAAAATACTACCTATGAAGTTCAGCACAGATCTATTTAAAGTCGTGAATAACTATTCAAATAACAGAAGAGTTGCCGTTGCCCCTCACTATCAATGGAGGGCTGGTTCCAGAAGCTTGGGGGACTATCTAGATCTCAACTCTCTTGTATAAACACCACACAACCTATCCCCATTCTTCACTTTAACTCAGCTCTAGATTGCTTATAATAACCTGGCATGATGTAAGTGCTATGGAAATAGCTGTTAGGCTATACTGTTCAGGGAATAATGGCAAAGAAAGTCCATACATATTCAATACAGAGCCAGTATTTTTCCTCATATATTATACATCTGTGAATGTGATCATGAAATGAAAATGGCATATTTACATTTTTGGAATAATTTATGAGAAATAACGTAATATTATGATATAGTTGGCTCAAATTATTTGCTATATCCATCAATTTATAGTCTTCTAAAACAGTAGTTTTCAATCTGTAGGTCTTGTCCCCTTTGGGACCCTTTCACAAGGATCACATATAAAATATCCTACAAATCAGATATTTACATTATGATTCATAACAGTAGCAAAATTACACGTATGAAGTAGCAACCAAAATTTAATGGTTGTGGGTCACCACAACATGAGGAAGTATATTAAAGGATCTCAAGCATTAGGAAGGATGAGCATCACTGTTATGAAAGTTAAAAATAGAAACTGTCATGAATGGGAAAGGTGAAGAATTGGTTAAACGGAACAGAGTTTTATTGAGACCAGAAGAATAAGTTTGTTGGTAGGTTTTGCAAGTATAGTGTGTGTGTGTGTGTGTGTGTGTGTGTGTGTGTGTGTGTGTGTGACTCTATGTGTGCATGTGGAGCCTAGAGGTAGACTTCAGGTAT